TTGGATTTATGTTAACTAATATATGGCATGAACTAACACATGTGGATATGGGTTGTAACATGCCAACGGACAAATATTTCCACTAGTTTTTGCCATTTGTGCCAACGAAAGCGAAGAGACATGGACACTTTTTTTGAACCACTTGAAGCAGCACGTTGTCAAACAACGTTCAAGTATTTGTCTAATATGTGATCGACATGGTAGTATTTTAAGTTCTGTACGGCACTTGCCTGAATGGCAGAAACCCTATACATACCACTGTTACTGTGTGAGGCACTTGAAGGCCAATTTCCAGAAGAAATATCCTGACAAGGCCTTGCATGATTTAATGTGGATGGCTGCAACTGAGCACCAGCAGTGCAAATTCATGAGGCGCATGGAAGCGATCCGGCAGTTAGATCCACGAGCCTATACTTGGTTGATGGGACATGAGCTTCATATGTGAACATTGCATGCTGATGGCGGCAGACGATGAGTAGCCCTGACTACAAATGTGTCGGAGTCATTCAACGGCTTGTTGAAGTCTTCCCGTGGATTGCCTGTCACTGCCATGGTCCACATGACATTCAAATAGAGTGCGGAGAGGTTTGTTGAAAGGCATTGAGTTGCATCGACATTGATGGACAGGGGTGTTCAATTTATGCCAATACCGATGAGAAGATTTGAAAGGTATAGGAGGCGAGCACGTTGGCATTCATTTTTACAGTACGATCACGACCGGGGTCTTTTTGAAGTTAAGACCTCTATTCGCGGACACCAGGGGAATAATCTATAGACGGTGAATGAAGCCAGCAGGTTGTGTTCATGTGAGAAATGGACCATCTACCACATGCCGTGCGCACATGCCTTGAAGTGCTTTCAACAAGTTGGTTTAGGGGCAACCAACTATATTGATAGGCAACATAGTGTTGTTGCATACGTAGACACATATAGTGGGCAGTTGCAGCCATTAGGTGCTGAGCATTATTGGCCGCCGGAACCTTTTAAGATGGTGTGTAATAAGGACTATTTGCGCAAGCTGCAAGTGCAAAAAAGAATGCGTATACGGAACCAAATGGATGTTGGTGACACCGTTTATGCGCGTAAATGTGGCATATGCTCGCAAAAAGGACACGACCGTTGTAAATGTCCTTTAGGTGGTGTGCGTGGAAGTGGTAATCCAGTTCCTGGTGCAAGTTCGTCGAATGTACCCAACTATCAAGGAAACACCTAGTTTTTCGTTTTCGTATTGTTTTTTGTAATATGTGTCTGTGTGTATGTTGCAATATCTATCAAATAAAATTATGTTCCACAACTTGTTACATCTTACTTTTTAACATGACCTTTTGAATTGGGATGCTGATATAGTTGTTCAAATATTAAACTTATTGGTGTTAGTAAAGAAGACCAATCTAAAAATTAAAAAAAAAACTATAAAATTAAGACAGCCTTTATTATCCTTCTTAAAATTTAATACGTAAAGCGTGGTATAATACTACATTTTGTGAGTTGTCTTGTCGTTCTGAAAAAGCTGAAAACCATGTGAAAAAGCTGTTTCATTCCAGAAAAATTAAATATGTAAAGCGTGGTATAATACTACATTCTATGAGTTATCTTGTCATTCTGAAAAAGCTGAAAACCATGTGAAAAAAGCTATTTTGTTCCAGAAAAATTAAATATGTAAAGCGTGGTATAATACTACATTTTGTGAGTTGTCTCGTTCTGAAAAAGCTGAAAACCATGTGAAAAAATTGTTTCGTTCCAGAAAAATTAAATATGTAAAGCGTCGTATAATACTACGTTTTGTGAGTTGTCTTGCCGTTCTGAAAAAGCTGAAAATCATGTGAAAAAGTTGTTTTGTTCCAGAAAAATTAATTATGTAAAGCGTGGTATAATACTACATTTTTTGAGTTGTCTTGTCGTTCTGAAAAAGCTGAAACTATGTGAAAAAGCTGTTTCGTTCCAGAAAAATTAAATATGTAAAGTGTGGTATAATACTATGTTTTGTGAGTTGTCTTGTCGTTCTGAAAAAGCTGAAAACTATGTGAAAAAGTTGTTTCGTTCCAGAAGAATTAAATATGTAAATCGTGGTATAATACTACATTTTGTATGTATGTAAAGCATGGTATAATACTACGTTTTATGTGAAATCTTGCCTATAAATAACGGACGCATTCTAGTTATTTTCTACGCTTAACAATAAGCAATATCAAATATTTCCATAAAACCAAAGTTTATCTTTAAGAAATGTCTCAACAACCCCTTTATGTCCCAAGGTGCGAGTGCGGAAAAAATGCATGATGTGCAATTGTTGGGAAGAAGCTGGACGCCGCTACTGGGCGTGTATGAACAAGTTTTATAGGCAACTCGACGAGCCTACATGCAATTTTGAGGTATGGATTGATGAACCCTTGCTGGGGACCACCTCCTTGCCGTCCCCCGCGACCCCGTAGGGCACCCTACCTCGTGGGACGACCCTGCCTCGTGGGGTAGCCCTGGGTCGTGCCCTACCCCTGCCTCGTGGGACAGGCCTACACCGATGGTACTCCTATGGCGCCGCATACTCAACCTCGTGATCCAACCTCGCCCATCTCTGGCTCGCTACAGGGTCTGAAGAGCCAGTTCTTCCACTCGCCGGCCATACTCAACGACTGCAGAATGTCGCCATGTTGCTGCATCTCCTGTCCCAACCGATAGAACATGTGATGCCCAATAGCCTGCGCAACATTTATAATATCGATTAAATAATGCTATATCACAATTATAAAATATTAATAAGCCACAAAAACATACCAGTACCTCGTGCCTCCCGGTGTATGGTCTGTACCGATCGCCAAGTACATGAAGGGGGTTCCCGATCATCAGTTGGGTGTGACGGTGGTACCATGACATATACAGCTTAATAGTCACCTCGTGGATCTATGAAGGTGGTGGCGGAATCAACTCCTCTCGCTGGTCCCAAATATGGACCTACGCCTCTAGTCATCCTACAAATTCATCGTCCACCCTCGTACGGTCAGCCCGCTGATAATGTGTAGGCACCTATGGAGGCTCCCCCGATATCCCCTGGGGACGGTGAAACTGGTGAAGTACACACTCTGTGGCATGATGCTCCACCACATCGAAGTACATCATCGAGACGAAAGTGCTCCAAAGCAGTAGGTCGACTGAGCAATAATCGGGCAGATGTGCTAGCAAGTCGTCGCTGTATGACATCTAGATGAACTATGAAATAATAACATAAAAGTGAGGATGCGCAACACTACTGAATTATAACAAGTAAGTTTAGGTACATATTTACCTGTCCGGCCACTAGCATATCTAACACATCCTTGACAAGGGGGAGATTATGATGAGCATCAGTCCCTCAGTAGTTCCCACGCTGGAGAACCTGTCACACCACCTTTTTCCGCCGCCGCTAGGGGTGAAGGAGTTTTTTTCAATTAAAGGACAATCGAAACGGGATTTATTTATTTATTTCAGAGTCGCCACTTGGGAGATTTAGGGTGTCCCAAGTCACCAATTTTAATCCCGAATCGAGGAAAAGAATGACTCTGTATTACAGTCCGCGAACCAGAAATCCGGATAAGGAATTCTGTTAACCCGGGAGAAGGTGTTAGGCATTCCCGAGTTCCGTGGTTCTAGCACGGTCGCTCAACTGTTATATTCGGCTTGATTATCTGATTTTATACA